GCCACCGACGACCCGGGCTCCTCCTCCGGCTCCAAGCGGCGCGGCGCCGGCGCCGGCCGCGGCGGCGCGGGCCCCTCGTCCTCCTCCGCCAAGCGCCGCCGCGGCCGCTCCGGCGTCCTCCAGTTCGTCGACGACGCCGCCGGCGTCGACGACGAGTACGAGGAGGACGAGGAGGAGGAAGAGGAGGAGGAGGAGGCGGAGGAGCTGCAGGACGACCTCGACGACGGTACGGGACCACGGATCGGCTTTCCCGAGGCGGCGAACCCTGCCCGCGTTGGTTCGGTGGCATCGATTAGTTGGTTCGGCTGGGGTCTAGGGTTCGGAGCAATGCATTCTTCGTTGTGCTTCGATGTCCTTGTTAGGTCTATCTGCTGATTGGGGTTTTTTAGTTTGTCTTTGGTTGGGATTTCGTTGGTTGGGGTTTTTTTGTTTCCCCATCCTTTAACAGCGGCAATCTCTAGATAACCGCGTCAAAATTCATCCTACCCCCAGGGTTGCATTTTAGAAGCCGTAGAGTCCGGTCATGGGATCCCAACCAATAGATGTCCAGAAGTTTTCGTTTTTAAGGTGTTATGATGCAGGGCCAATTGATTCGCGGTATCGAATTTTCTTTTTCTTCTGGTAGTGGAAGGTTTCTAGCAATTTTGGGAAGTGAAGTGATGATATGTTTACTGGCGCGGCATGACTACAAAGGGGGGGGGGTGGTGGTGGTGGTTACGATTTGTTGCTTCTCCTTTTGCCTGAACCACCTGTTAGGAAAGCTCACTTACAATACAGTTTAATGATACACAAGTTTGCTTGCGTACCATAATGTACTGGTGTAGTGTCAAAAAATGTCTTACATTATGGGACGGAGGGAGTACGTGGCATTGAGTTGGTAACCGTTGCATTAGCCATCAGGGATAGAGCATGTCTTGTATATATTGTATTATGTGTCGTTGATGGTTGCCACAGCAGTTTGGATTTTACATGAACCATTGTAATAATGGTTTTAAGATACATAACTATGTTAGCTTTTGCACTTCATTGGAAGTGGGTCCTAATTGAGTTGTTTTCATGCATGAAGTTTGTTGTGAGTTACTAAGTCGGACATGTTAGAGGTCATCGGGGCCTTTTCCTTTTACAATGATGGCACACATTTAGGGGCTCATATCAAATTCTGCAGATTTGCAACTTTTTACAAGCACACAAGGGGCAAAATTATTAAATTCATGTTTGTGCACTTGCCCTTGTTTGTCTGTAAGGTGATTTTTTCATAAAAATATGAAATAATATCAGATTATAAGGGTGACATGTTTTTCGTTCATACTTTTTTCAGTAACCAAGGAGTGAATAATATTTATAGTTAGTTTCATCTGCTGGCTTTTGTGGTGCATAGTGAGGACTCTGTTTATAACTTTATAAGTTGTCACCTTGTGGTCGATCAGGTATCAAGGTGCCCGGGTTGCTGCCCCGCCTTGCTCGCTGTAGTAAAGATAAAAAGGGGAGAGTGGGAAAAATAAAATGGCAAGGGAAGAGAGAGGGATAGATGGTGGGAGGCGAAGGGAGAGGGTGAAAAAGAGGAGAGGAGGCGGGGGGCATGTGGGGTGATTGTAAATAACTGGTTTTGATGTACAGGGTCCATAGACCGGTTATAAAGTTGACGTTTTCTTTTGAACAATTACCAGGGAGTTGTAGGTTCTTGTCCTTTCTAGGCACCAACCATCAGTTTACCTTCACCATCCAAACAATTCTTTTGCAACTTCTGCTGATGTCATCCCACTGATGAACATTGCAGGTTTCTTTACTGCGGGGAGGACAAAAGGTGTAAGAGTTGAAAGGTCACACCCTCTTCCATTTCTTGGAAATGTAAAGGAAGAGGAGCTGAGCGGTGATGAACTTGAGCAATTTATCAATGACCGTTACTCTAATCGTGTGAGATATGCCGGTTATGGTGGCTCTACCGAACAATATGATGATGATGAGTCTACCATGGATGGTGTAAAAGATCCTATCATCTGGAGGGTCAAATGCATGGTTTGTGATTGCTAGATGTTTTGACTTTATGATGTCCTAGCATTTAATAGCCGGACACTTATTTATGTAGCTGCATTTCAGGTTGGGCGGGAGCGCCAAATGGCTTTCTGCTTCATGCAGAAGTTTCTTCATCTGCAAAAGTTCGGTACCAAAGTGCCAATTATCTCAGCATTCTCACTTGATCATGTGAGAGGATCTGTTTTTGTTGAAGCTGAGAAGGCTTGTGACGTTACTGAGGTACGTAGTTTGATCCTTCCATTAAAGAATAAACATATCCATGCTCCTAAGAACAATTTAAACAACATGAGATGATGTATATCCAGCTATGCATTACACTATGTGGTATCAGATGATATTGGGTGATACTTCAACATCAGATTTGTTAAAGGTTTAAAATGTCTTGTTTTCTCTGTGCATTGCAATTCATTTTTCCTTCTACTTCTCACACACTCCAATTCAATTTTCTCTTTCATATAAATTAATAAAATTGGAAGGTCAGAATGGAGAATAAATGCTTCTCATTGGATATTCGAAAAACAAAATTTGTCTTTGACAGTCGATAAAGTTTTCTTCCCCTGTAAGATTTGCCCATTTATATGCTGTACAGAATTTTTTGGTTGCAAAATGACCCACTGACCATATGTGCACCTCTTGCTACAGGCATGCAAAGGATTTTGCGATGTTTATGTAAACCGAACTAGTACTGTCCCAGTAGCTGAAGTTCGTAGCTTGCTATCAACTCGTGCAAAACCATTTGAAGTTTCTCCAGGTACATGGGTGCGCATGAAAAGTGGAAACTATAAAGGAGATCTAGCACAGGTATCATAATAGGGGTGTGGGATATCTTAATATATTCTCAAATTCTTTGTTCATCAATGCCATTTCTTTTAGGTTGTCAGTGCGGATGATGGGCGGAAAAAAGTGTTGATAAAGCTTATACCAAGAGTTGATCTCCATGCTATTTCAAAAAAATTCGTAATGCTCTTACACCTGTGTCTGCATCCTATATTTTCATTATTGCAGTAAAAGCTCTGGAACTTTTTTATTGGCTTGAGTTCAATTTATGCCTGCTTATGCCATCTGATTTTGTAGTTTGATAATACTTCCTGTAGCTGCAAACTTGTTTTGTTGAATGTGTTGCCTGTCAATCATGAGATTATGTCTGCTGATTTTTACTATGTATTGGTCTCTACTTCCTGTAACTCTTGCGTCGCCATTTGCCAGCAGTGATGAGCTATGTACTGCATTTAAGTTTGTATTTATCGGGGGCTTTAGCATCAAGCTCAGACCTTTGTCCTAGAAACTTGATTTTCATATTATTTTATAGCACAGGAGAAATTATGACACGTGAGCCCTTGTGATGTGTATTGTCTGTGATACCATGTGACCTGAATGTTTAATTCTATTCATGTGCTTGTTAACAACTACTTCCTCCAATCACGAATATAAGGTGTTATAACTTTTTTCTGAATCGGATTTCTGTAGACACATTTTTAGTGTGTTTGTTCACTCATTTCAGTCCGTATGTAGTCCATATTGAAATACCCAAAACATCTTATATTTATGAACGGAGGGAGTATTTCTTTTCACTTCCCCTTTGCATCTTGTATGGTTGACAGTTGGAATTACCACTACGGGACTCATGTTATCTGCGTTGGCTTTTGCAGGGTGGTGCTATTCCCCTAAAAGGTGCGGCAGTTCCTGCGCCGCGACTAATCAGCTCGCAGGAGCTAGAGTAAGTGCTTCTGTCCAATGTTTCTTTGTCCCACACCCAGTAGCCTTCTGCTACCATTTGTTTCTAATCAGTCTCTGCCATTGTTTCCATGATCTTGTTGATTCTAGGTTCTTTGGACCTCATATCGAAAGTAAGCGTGATCGTCAGACTGGTGATGTTTTTGAAGTGCTTGATGGTCTGATGTTCAAAGATGGTTTCCTGTATAAGCGAGTTGCACTTAGTTCTTTGATTTACTGGGGGATACAACCAACGGATACCGAGATTCTCAAGTTCTCTTCTAGTCCAAGCATTAAAAGTTCTGCCGATGACATGGATTGGGTCTCCGGCATCTATGGTCATAATAAGAAAAGAAATGTGCCCAGAGAACCGGATATGAAGAAATCAGCATCTTCTAAAGACAAAAGCTCCAAGGCATCAAATCTTAAAGGTTCCACTTCTACTGAAAACTGTGATGATGATGATGATGATGCTCAATTCAACCTCCACGATCTTGTAACCTTTGGGTGAGTCTCTGTTTTCTGGTCTTTATTCACTAGTCACTATCAACTATTCCCTCTGTTCCAAATTATTTGAAGTTCTGGCTTTGTCCTAAGTCAAACTTCTTTAAGTTTGGCCAAGTCTAGAGAATAATGTATCAACAGCCACAGCGCAAAATCAGCTTCACCATAAAAATGTACTTTCGTAATATATATATATATATATTTGATGTTGTAGTTATTAGCACATTTTCCTATAGACTTGGTCAAATTTCTTTTAAGTTTTGACTTGGGACAAAGCTTGAACTTCAAATAATTTTGAACGGAAGGAGTAAGTACTTGCTACAGGATGCAATAATTATTTCTATTTCTTAATGAGCAGCCGAAAAGATTTTGGAGTGATTATTGCTGTTGAGAAAGATGGTTTTAAGGTAGTATTCTTCTCATGCACTCTCGAGTTCCGCATTTTTGGGTAGTACCATTCTAAGAATGATTGGTTGTGTCGTAGATTTTAAAAGGTGGCCCTGAAGGATCTGCTGTGACAGTTAGAAAGCAAGATATTAAGAAAGGAATTGTAGACAAAATGTTTACAGCTGTTGACCATCAGAACAAGTCAATATCCATGAATGACACTGTTAAAGTTCTGGAAGGACCAGTTCAGGTGAAATTTTTATTTCCATTCAATCAGGAGTTTGCTATGATGAAGTGTCTTATTTTCTGGGCAGTATGTGGAACTATGCATGTTCTTCTTCTATTGATAACATTTGACTAAAATAATTGGTGTATTGAATGTACTTTTGTCAAGTATCTGCTAATTGTTCCAACCTTGCAGTTTGTAAGATGAGTTTTTGTTCTACTAACATGCTCCATAGCTGCAAATTATGATTTTGCAGTTCCTATAATTATTTAGTAAACCAATTCCTTCCGTCTGGCACCTTTTTGATCTGTTTGATGTTATCTTGCAGGGCAAGCAAGGAGTTGTTAAACACTTGTATATGGGAATACTTTTTATATATGATGAAAGCGAAAGTGAGAACAGTGGATTTTTCTGTGCTCAGTGTGGGTCATGTGAAAATGTAAAGAAAAGGAGGGACGTGACAAATTCGGTATGTTTGATGCACTATGTCCACTTGTCAATGAATCAGAAAGGTTCTTTTGGTCACTTTGTTTTTGATGTATCAGGACAACCCTATGTTCTCGGAGTCAGCTTTCATATCATCTGAGCAAAATGAACAACGAAATAGTAAGTGTTCCATGATTTTTTTTCTATGTATTGTCATTTGAAGTTTGATGTTTGTCAGCAGAAGTTAAGTTCTGTTCTGATTTCCTTGATCATACAGATGAAAGGCCTTACAGGGCACCCAGAGAACAACTCTTCCAAGTCGGAGAGGTGCTGCGTTTTCGAAGGGGTCCTTTGAAGGGTTATCTCTGCCGTGTAGTTCGGATATTTAGAAATGATGTAACTGTTAAGCTAGATTCTCTACTGAAGATTGTTACAGGTTAGTTCGTAAGTATGCTTGTACTGGAGCCATTCTATGGACAATGCCTTACTCTTTTGTATTATGTTGCAGTGCAAGCAGAGTTTCTCTCAGTCCCAACTAAAAGAGGGTAAGCAGACAAATCGTGTTTCAAGCTTCTCTTACTTATTGTTGCTTGTTTTAGTGACATTGTGACTGCATGAGTAGTCATTGATGTATAATTTCATTTCCACATTTGCTTCTCATTGTGTTATATGTCACACCAGGGATAACTCGTCTAGTGCTCCATCTGGTAATTTTGGAACTCAGGATACACCATTCACTGGTAAGTTTTTGTTCATATGTATACCAGTTATTTCTACTTGCTAGATTAGTTTCTATTGCGTGTACAAGGGAAAGTGTTGCCGATCTTCTCCAAAACTATTTGCGGCGGACCTACTGCCTATAATGAGACCATCTGCCCAGTCTGATTGAGTTTTTAAGATGTGAGAATTGAAAACTGAATGTAGAATTGTTTATAAGGTGTAGAAGACTTTTTTTAATTATAGCACCTCATAAGTTTGGTCTTGTAATACATTCTTTTTGTTACTTACATTGATTCTAAATTTATGTTCAGAAGCTGCTAAAACCTCATGGGACAATGGATTTGCATCTCTTGGCAGGTTTGTTTCATATTTTTCAGTTCCTTGCTGGTTTCTTTTAAACAAGCCAAACTGGGTTGACTTGCTAATGGTGTTGTGAGGTTGACTTGCTAATGTAATTGTTACCAACCATGAGAAAAAGGTTGCTAAGGGTAGCAACCTTAACCTTTCGTTGAACTTACTTTGTCGTTTTTGTGTAATGCTATCATTTATATGCAATTATATTTTCATGTAGTTACGTTCCAAAATATAAGGTGTATATTTTTTTTTGAGAAGTCAATCTTCTCTATGTTTTGAGCAAGTTTATAGAGAAAAATATCGATATCTACAATGCCAATTCAGATCATTATGTTCATTATGAAATATATTTCATATTTATCTATTGCTGAATGTTGATATTTTTTCTATAAACCTAGTCAACTTACAGAATCTGTACAATATCGCTTGGAGGAATAAATGGCCTGTGTACCTATTATTTGCATCAGTACTAATTACCAGTCACATAATAGTTTTATTATCTGCTGCAGTGATTCTTGGCAACCTTTTTCAAGTTCTGCGTTACCAGCCCAGAATGCAGGTAATATCTAGTTTTAGGCCTGCCCTTCGCCATCCTATTTGGTAGCATGGTTGGGAGCCTCCCTTTTTCGTATAATTTGGAGCTTCATTGATTTTTGTGTTGTTTGATCACAATGATGGTTGGGAACCTACATTTTACGCCTTTGCACTAGGGGGTTGGGGATATATTATGTGTAGTTGATACATGTATAAAGTAGTAATGCATACAATAATTGTCCAATATTCAAAGGCAAGTTCTTATTTGATGTTCTTATACCCTCTAGATTAATCTTTACACCTCTTATCTTCTGTCAACCACACTCCATCAGCTATGCTATCTACTAGGGTTTACTGGATGTTGCACGTGTAACACCATGCTCTACTCATGTCAAGAGCTTGTTTGTCCCCTGATTCATCTGATCATAAGGCTACAGAGTACTCCCTCCTTCTGGAATTATTTGTCGCTCAAACGGTGTAGTAGTATCATTTATGGTAAAGCTGCAAGTGGATAAAAAACTGCATGGGTTAGGCCATAGGGGACTTGCTTCCGAGGAAAGGAAAACTCGGGCTTTAAAACTGGTTGGCACTGGATTTTTCTAGATTTGGATGCCTGACATCCTATTTGTTACCAACTAGCCTTCTCAATCTTTGCTTTGTGCATAACTACGTGATTTTGCTGTGCACATGCCCACACAGTTAACAGACAATTTTGCCCTCTCTTTATGTCACTGTTGAGCTGCATCATGTGGTATAAAACAAAACCAGCAACGCAAGTATGGCTTCAAATTCCAAGTCATGATATTAGCTATAGAAATAAGTTTAGTCCAGAATATCAAGGTTATTTCCATTGTCTGATTTGCTCAGCTAGGGTGGGTGGTTCAGTTTCTGTTTATAAAAAAGCAGTTGGTATCACCCCTCCTCTGTGTGTTGGTTGTGTTATCAGTAGAGTCCAGATAACTGTGGACTGAGGGTAGATATATATGTCGTAAAATCCGTGATACATTAATACTGTGCCTGTAGTGTAGCAAATAATGTCTTGCATATTGGTTTCTAATGGGTGTAACTGGTAACTTTTTTTTTTTGCATCTTGAGGTTTTTATAGAAGGGGAGCCTTGGCGCAGTGGTAAAGCTGCTGCCTTGTGACCATGAGGTCACGGGTTCAAGTCCTGGAAACAGCCTCTTACAGAAATGTAGGGAAAGGCTGCGTACTATAGACCCAAAGTGGTCAGACCCTTCCCCGGACCCTGCGCAAGCGGGAGCTACATGCACGGAGCCTTGGCGCAGTGGTAAAGCTGCTGCCTTGTGACCATGAGGTCACGGGTTCAAGTCCTGGAAACAGCCTCTTACAGAAATGTAGGGAAAGGCTGCGTACTATAGACCCAAAGTGGTCGGACCCTTCCCCGGACCCTGCGCAAGCGGGAGCTACATGCACCGGGCTGCCCTTTTTTATCTTGAGGTTTTTATAATTTTGCTGATTCAGTAATTTCTACATCTTTTTCAGATGGAGAAACAGAAGCTGATCCCTGGTCTAAGAAACCAACATCTTCTGCTGATGGTGATTCTGATCCATGGGGTAACAAAACAACATCTGCAGCTGTTGATATATGGAACAACAGCACTACACAAAAGGAAAGCTCCACCGACAATGCCTGGGGTAAAGAAGCCGGAGGTGGTGGATTTGATGCTGGTGGCAGCTCTTGGGGTGGAGGAGCAGTCAACAAGGATAGTGAAAAGAGTGGCAACTGGGGTGAGGCATGCAAGCAGGTGGACACGGCAACTGGTGGTGATACAGATCCTTGGGGCAGTAAGGTCAAAGAAGTAGTTATGAAAGAAGCAGATAGCTGGGAGAAGTCATCATGGTCACCAAAGAAGAAGTTGGAGGGTGATGATCAAGGATGGGGCCAACCTTTTGGCAAGTCAAACCAAGATCAAGAAAAAGGCACAGTTCCGAAGGACGCAGACAAGGGTGGGTCTTGGGATACCACTGTTGCTATTTGTGTCGGTTCAGATGATAATGATGCCTGGGCTAAATCTGCTACTTTGCCTGTTGCTCAAGATGATGCCTGGGGGAAGTCAAAAGAGTCAGGCCAAAACAGCGGCTCTGGAGGCTGGGATACTGTTGCTGTGGGCCAAGGACAAGATGAAGCATGGGGCAATCCAAAAGATTCAGGTGCCAAGTCTGAAGAAACAAATAATGGAAGTGGGAACTGGAACAAAGCTGGCTCATCAGACCAAGTTGGTGGCAGTGATTGGGGTAAACCGAAAATTTCTGGCGGTGCTGGTTCATCAAGCTGGAACAAGGGAGAGTCAGCTGAGGGGGATAATCAGAATAGCACCTGGAGCAGACCTGCTGGAAACTTTGAAGGTGGCCGTGGGTTCGGGCGAGGACGTGGGAGAGGCCGGGGCCGGGAATCTTGGGATTCTGGTGACAGAAATGACCAAGAAAGCTGGAAGGGCTCATGGCGTAATGACAGTTCTGCAAAGCCCTCTTGGGGGTCTGATACACAGGTAGGTAATGAAGGTGGAGATTCTGGTGGATACCGGGGGAGGGGAAGAGGGAGGGGCCAATATGGAGGACGAGGGGGAGGAAGAGACAATGGTTGGAGAAATGGAGATCGAGGTAGTTCTGAGTTTGGAAAGGAAAGGAGCAGTAGTGATACACCAAACTGGGGAAACAGTCAGCCTTGGAGTGCCAATGAAGGCACCAAGCCATGTGATGAAAATCAGACTCCCGCTTGGAATTCCTCAGAGGATAAAAAACTGTCTGGAGGTGAGCAGCCTCATTCAGAGTTGTAGCTTTATTAATGATCATTGTTGGTAAATGTGTACTTCTATGTTCTGGATCACATATATCAAATCTGATATTTTCCATCAAAAATTCCGTCAATGCCATACATATATTAATCTCGTGCTACTTTAATGATGTTCAACAGGAATACACTAGTAAATATCTCATGCTGCTTAGAATTGTGCCTCTTTTATTACTCTTGATTGACTAGTTGACTGTGAGTGTTGGTAAAGCACACATTGATCCTTGGCTTTAGCAAGATGGCTTCTATTGCATGTGCTGAGTATTGATGGTATTTAAAATCGTGGCACAAGTACTCGATATGCTGCAAGTCTCACTCTTATATGCTCTTGTGTAGGCGAGCAAGGTGATCCTTGGGCGAGCAAGGTGACTGCTAAAGGTGATGAAGATATAATTGGAATAACCATTTTGTATTTGGTTTGATGCTTTGAGCTATAGTTATGTGCTGACTTCTGTATCTTGTAGGCCAAGAACAACAAACTGATGCTTGGTCAAGCAAGGCTGCAGGTGCTGAGAACAATGATTGCTGGAATACGAAGGCGGAAGAGTCTTCCTGTAACACTGGGGCAAAATGGGAGGATGCTGCATCAGGTAGTTCTGAAGCAAAGTTATTCTTTTTTGCTCTATATTTGATGTATGTACCACAAGCTTATCTTTTGTTCTCATGTTTAGGTGAAAAACAACAAGATGATCCGTGGTCAAACAAGATCAGTTCTACTACTAAAGGTGCTTAGGACTAATTCAATTGATCATATTTGATACCCTGCTTGACATTTGGGCTAAACTCCTGATTATATTTTCCTTGTGGCACCTTGCGGTGCTTGTATTTGATCCTCTCGGTAGGCAAAGAGCAAGAAACTGATCCATGGGCAAGCAAGGTGTCTTCTACTGCAGCAGAGGAAAAAGCTGACCCCTGGAGTACTAAAGGGGGCAATGGGAATGATGGGGGTTGGAACAATGCTGGCTCGTCTTCTTGGGGCAAACCAAGTTCCTCAAGTGGAGATCAAGAACCTGCTTGGAACGAGCCAAAATATGGTGATGATAATGCTGGATATGGTAGGGGTGGATTTGGACGTGGGAATCGTGGCAGAGGTAGGGGAAGGTTTGGGGACAGTGGATCTTCATGGAATGGAGGAGGCAACACAAATGATGGATCAGGTGGAGGAAGGTCTGAAGATCAGTGGAACAGTAGGGATTCCGATGGTGGCAGAGGAAGGGGCAGAGGTCGCTTTGGTCGAGGTGATCGCTATCAAGGTAACAACTTTGGGTCAGGAGACGGGGATGGTGGCAGTTGGGGCTCTGGCAGGGGAAACAGAGGCCGTGGTGGTGGTTACAGAAACAATGGAAATGACAACAATGAGGGAAGGGCCTCCAGTCAAGACCGCGGTGGTGGCTGGTCTCACTCTTCTGCTTGGAATGCTGATAAAAAGGGAAGCGCTGAAGACGATCAATCTTTCTCAAAGGGCAAGTCCAGCTGGGGGAGTGACAACAACGGTAGCTGGGGAGCTCCAAAACCATCTGGTGGTGATGATCAGGCAGGAAAGAAGGATGGAAACAACACCTGGAGTCAAAACAAGCCATTTTCTGGCGATGGATCCTCTATCCTGGGCCAGTGGGCTCCTGCTGGCGGCGCCACCGCTGGTACTGCAGGATCTGCAGGCGGAGGAGGATCATGGGGAAAGAGCAATGAAGATAGCTGGAATTCTTCAAAAGGAACTGGAGGCTCAGGTATGACCACTAAGGATCCTTCACCGCAAAGAGTGAAAGAATCAATTTTGTTTTAGCTTAAGTGCTTTTGCCTTTTTTTGCCCCCTGGAGTTCATCAATTTTCTCCCACCTCAGTCTGTTCAATGCCCCTGTCTATTGACATTTCTTATGCTAATCTTACAATCCAATTCGAAGCGCTAAATCTCTCTCCCGTGCCATTTCAGAAGGTGGTTCGAAGAAGGAAGGATCCTGGGACAAGGCTGAAGGGAGCGGGAGCCAAGGCGGAGGTGGCGGCAGTTCTTGGGACAAGGTGGCCAGTGGCGGATGGGACAGCAACAAGGGCGCGGATGCCGGCAATGGTGGTGGCAGTGGGTGGTAAGCTTGTTCCAAAATCAGCTGTGCCTGATTTTGGCGTGTACATAAGGGTTAGCGCTATGCAGGTCTCAGCGCTCTAGCACTTTGTGCTGGTTGGTTCCATTGGCCGTGCGACCTGAACCTTTAGAAGAACATGGCCTAGCTGGGCAAAACGTCCCCTCATGCTGGCAGTAATATACTAGTAGTGCCAGCAGAACGTTTCGTGGTACCTGCAGTAACTTATAAGTACCTTAAATCCTATCGTGTCTGAGATTTCCTGTGGTCTTTGCCTGGTTGCTATTGCTATGTGATGGCGATGCCCTAGGCTGGATGCAAGTGTATTTTCGCAAGTACTCCCTCCGTTCCAAATTACTGTTGCAGAAATGGATGTATCTAAACTAAACTACATCTAAATATGTCCATTTCTGCGACGAGTAATTCGGAACGGAGGGAGTAGCTCTGAGCTTTTTGTGAGTGTTATCATTTCCATTGGCTTAGTTTGATTCTCTACTGTCTACGGTGACTATGTGGTTTTTAAAAATAAATTCATATGAAGAACACATTTGAAAACTAGAATCCTGATCTGTTTTCCCCCTACATGTTCATCTCTTTAGTGTATCCTACAAATGAAAATTACTTTGGTCAAAATTTGTGGATATAAAGAGGGCATCTAAGTGCATGATGGATTATCATTTTTTCAATATTTTTGGAGGCTTCTTACTATGTAATTCTATTGTTATTTTAAAAACTCGCTCTGTGGAACCTGCGAACTAAACGTCCAAACTCTGTTATATGGGCTATTTTATTTTATTTTGGGCGGGTTGAAGATGAGATAACTCGGTTAATGTATAACACATATTTGTAGAACACTAAATCCAATCCAAGCTAGATTAGCTAGGCAATGCTTATGATTCAAACTCTGTTTTATTTTGGGATGGAGATCCCATTACCTTTCTTGTTCGGGATGTAACCATTATCTCAAATGAATAAAGTGCACCACAAGGCATTTCCCTCAATAAAATCCAATTAACAATGCCACTTTCTTTTAAAATTTGACTACTATTTGCAAAACATGCAAATCTGTATTTCTTGAATTATGCAATACATATCTGAGACTAGATTGTGAGAGAGCGAGACCAGAAATTTACTTGCACTCTGTTGAAGTTGGGCTTAAATAATTCCTAGCTAAATGATGTCTTCGGTTGTGATTATCCATTTTTGCGGTACCTATGTACTTTCGACTTCTTATTTTTGAGTTGTTTAAGCTGGACATGATACTGTGCAAATTCGAAAAAATAGTCTTGAAAAAGTTAAAAAAGCACTTTTACAAAGGGTTGGAGCAAACCTTTGAGTTTGAGCTGACGAGGTGAATCACAAAATCTCTTGAAAAACATTTGGGGACGGTGCGTCCGCCGGTCGCGTCCCACCCGCGCATCCCCCAACAAATTGAAGCGCGACACATAAGGTGCGGGGTCCCACCCCTTGTCCTGTTTTCTCCCTCATCTTGCCCGAGACCACCTCGTGCTGCGCTGCATCTTTTTTCTCGGTGCAACCTCCTTGACCAGGCCCGACAGCATCTCGCCGGAGATGGCTGACCCCCCCTCGAGCCAATTCTTCCTTCGCACGGGCGTCTTCCCTATTCGTGCCGTTCTCCTGCAAAAGCGAGCGAGGACAGAGGAAGGGGCGCTGCGAGGAGTTGCGACGGCGGCATGTGGCGACTGCGGGGACCTCGATGGCGCGACAGGGATGTGAACCCCGGTAAATATATAATACATATTTGTAGAGCATTAAATCTGATCCGGCATGTTAATTTCTTTCAAGATTCCACATCTATTTACAACACATGCATTGCTATATTAATTGAATGTATTCCACAATACATTAGTCATCAACCCATACACCTCTAAAAAATCATTTTAAGTTGTCCTATAACTTTTGATATGTGTGGAAATGGAGAAAATGATAAACGTAAAAAATTCGCAAGCCATGACATTTACCCAAACTGAAGCAAGAATGTATTCCTCAAATTTCTTGAGGGTCAATGTATTGGTACCATTTTAAACATTCATTTATTTATCTTAGTTATATTAACCTGCAAAATGCACAAGAGGGAGCATAATTCTTTTTATCAACTTGCAAAATGCATATAGTATTTTTTAAACTCGTAAAACACCTTTTTATTCATTTGTTATCAACGTTACACCGTTCAATAAATGAGTACAATTGAGATCATGAGCAACAGAGTTGGCTGTCCAGTATTCATGCTCATATACCACCTTTGCAAACTCCTGGCGAGGTAATGCGAACCGTTAAAATCCGCTTCTATAATGGATCGGAAGAATACCTGTTGCTTCTACTCCCTTTGTAAACCTTTTAAAGACCTTTAGGTCACTACCTACCTTCTAGATCACTAAAGTAGTGACCTAAAAGGTCTTACAAAAGATTACAAAGGTAGTAATAAATAAATAAATCCAACAACCTGCATTTCCTCTTTCATAGTGCTGACCACCTCCATACTATCTCAGACTAGTAGACTGCCCGTGCGTTGCAACGGGATTTTAAAAATTTGTATTTGTTACATGTCAAACGAAAGATAATAATTGGCAACAAATATCTGCATCGGTAGATCAATGAAACAAAGATGACCAGTAACCGCTGCACCGTCCGGTGAAGTACCACCGCGCTCCTAGCACCCGAACCGTCGCGTACAGAGAACCACCTTCAAGAAGGAATGCGACGACGACGCCACTGCTGCCCGGACAAGTCCTAGGGTTTCCCTCGGTACGCAGAGGACAGTGGGGAAGGCGTATACCCGAGGACCTTTAGGGAGGTCCGGCGGCGCCTGCAGGCGGCACCACGTCGATGCCGGACGAGCCGCCAGGGATTTCACGAACCCAAACACAACCACCACCACCCCCGACGATCTGAAGTGTACCAACCAACCTGCCGCCCACCAGCCTTTGCCACCACGTTCACTGAACCAACTTCGTCGTCTCCTGAGGCCACCGACACGAGATCTGGAGGAGGGAAGAGGAGCCAAGGGGCTCGGGGGCATCCACAACTCAGCCGACGAGAGGGGACAACCTTCGCCGCTGCCGCGAAGCCGACCAGACGTGATGACAGGGGCCTACCAGGCCCCTACTGGCCCGACCAGGCCCAAATGGGTTAGGGCAGCCCCTGGTGCCACACTGCAACACGTCGGCGGACAAAGCCGCCACCACCCGCACCCCCCGATGCCTCGCCACCACCACCAAGGAGCCACACCGCCGCACATCGGACCGCCGGCCCGCCCCAACCCAGATGGGGCCCAAAATGGCCTAGATCTGGGCGGAGTGGACGCCGCCAGCCAGCCGCACCACCACGCACCTTGCAGCCAATGGCCGCGCCGCCGCATCAGGGGCACCCACGGCCCGCAACGCGCAAGCGGGGAAAGAACGACCTGCCTTCGCCCGAGGAGCGCCACCACCATCAGCCCCCCACCCCACCCCCAATGCGCGAGCGGGGAAAGAACGGCCTGCCTCTGCCAGCACCGCGTGGGAATGACCTCGCAGACCACGCCGGCGGCGGCAGGGGGGAAAGACGGGGAG